CTGCTGAACTGCTGGTGTGTGAGTACCAATCCTTCTAATCGGATGGGGAATTTCACATCGCAGCTACCCACCATGTTCTGAATCTTAAAATCCAAAAATTTTGCAGGAAAACCCAGTTTCTGAACAACTCTTGCATACTTCCTTGCTGCCAATCTGGATTGCTCCTCACTGAAGTGAGAAAAGGATAACCATATTATTTCCTCATTTAAGTATTACTTGAAGCAAATAGCATTGAACCACAAATAACTGGGAAAAAAATATCTGTGTTGAGGAGGAGGGGAGCACCACATGCAAAAGTTTTACATCCAAAATTAACAACTAGCACTGGTTTGCATGCTGATTTTGATATTAGGACCTGGATCATCACTAACATTGCACTCACTGTTCACGAGGCAGAAAACAGCAAATTATAAATCCACACATTTCACACTCTTAAAATACTGTCACAGTCTCTCTAATGGGATGTGAAAACTGTTACTTAAGTATTCAGCATACAACAGCTTTGAGCTACTACTGCTAGAAAATGTGTATTTCTAGAAGAATCTGTGAACTGCCAAGCCCCCCCGCTTGATTCAGCCCAGGTGTTCAAACATGGGTTTAACACGTGTTGTTGCAGAACTTGGTTTGCTTCAGTTTTGTAAATAGCTCAGGATACAGTTGTTCCTAACACAGAACATGACAACTTGAACTTCAAGTGTCACCAGGCAGTGAAAGCATTTCCTGTACAGCTCTATTCATTCATCTCTGCTCATTAGCTTATTCCTTCTGGATTCCTAACGGATTTCTTCAGAGCAGAATTTCTGTTCTGCCCACTGGAGTTAAGCTTATGTTTAGTTTTCAATTCTTACGCTTCAATGATCATGTGAAAAGATCAAACTACAGAGACCAGAGACTTGGAGCTGTTGGTCTGGGATGAATTAAACAATTCAAATACAAAATCACTCTTCTGCCACCTCTCCTACAGTTGAAGCAGTTCCAGTGCAGCATCAGCACAATTTTTAAATTATTAGAAAAAAAACCTGGTAACTGCAAAGCCAAAGAAGTGAATGTAACAACCTCCACAAACCAATTTATCGGACTGTATGAAAGAGCTTCAGAAATGGAACTACCATTTCCCCTTTCATAAGAAG